GTGACTTAAAACCCATTTATGATCTTACAGTTCTGTAGGTGAGAAGTCCAATGCGGGTCCCACAGGGCTCAGATCAAGCTGCTAGCTTGATTCCTTTCTGGAAGCTCGTTCTGGAGAATTCATTCCCTTTGTCTAGCTTCTAGAGGCCTCCCACATCCCTTCCTCCATCTTCAAAGCCAGCGAGTTATCTCTCTCTGACCCTTCTTCATGCTCCCTCTGACAGCAGCCGGGAAAGGTTCTCTGCTTTTCAGGACTCATGTGATTATACTGGGTCCACCTGGATGATGCCGGCTACTCCCCCATCTCAGATTCTTTCACCTTAATTACATCTGCAAAGTCCCTTTTGCCATGTGAGGGGACATATTCATAGGATCCAGGGATTAGGACGTGGACATCTTAGACATGGGGGATATTATTCTATCTGTAACAATGATCCATCATTTTTAAAAATTCAAATCATTGTAAAATAGAATAATAACTAATAGAGTATCCTCTTGTGATATCATAGTGACTTGGATTATGTGAAAGAGTAGGGCAGATTTTAGCAGTTATGATATGATGGTAGTTTTGTTGGTAAGAAACTACATGGTGGCCGGGCGCGGTGGCTCACACCTGTAATCCCAGCACTTTGGGAGGCCGAGGCGGGTGGATCACCTGAGGTCAGGAGTTCGAGACCAGCCTGGCCAACGTGACAAAACCTCATCTTGACTAAAATTACAAAAATTTGCTAGGCGTGGTGGCGGATGCCTGTAATCCCAGCCACCGGGGAGACTGAGACAGGAGAATTGCTTGAACCTGGAAGGTGGAGCTTACAGTGAGCCGAGATCATGCTGTTGTACTCTAGCCTGGGCAACAAGAGCGAAACTCTGTCTCAAAAGAAAGAAAAAAAGAAACTACGTGGTATGGTTTCTTCTTCTTTTTTTCTTTTTGAAACAGGCATCTTGCTGTATTGCCCAGGCTGGACTTGAACTTCTGGGCTCAAGCAGTCCTCCTGTCTTAGCTTCCCGAATAGCTGAGACTACAGGCGCACACCACCATGCCCATGCATGGTTCTTGATTATTTATATTTTTACAGTCAGCTGCATTGTGTTTTGATCCTTGTCTCCAAGATTGCCATACTACCTCCCGTTAGAAATGCCTCTTCCGGACTTGGGGAAGCCCAGGTTGTGAAAGTGATTATTATTACCTCTGCAGCATCTTGATTATCTGAATCTTCTGTGTCTTTGGATTGTGAAATGAAAATTTATTGTAGCACTTAAAGATGTGGAGAGAATTGCTAAGCTTATAAAAATTATTAGAGTGGAACCGAACTTTCAGCTCTTTCTCCTGTGTAGTAGATGATCATCAGGTTGCTAAGTCAGATAATGAGTCAAGTTTGAGATTAAAGAGTGCAATTAGTGTATTTTTCATTAATAATCTATGTCTCTACTAAATAAAGCAATTTTAGGAGTTTAATGACTCTTTTCCTAATGGAAACTGGAGGAATCTCCTTTCCTCTTTTTAAATGGTTTTATCTTTTAATCCACATTGACACTTGACCCTCAGTCCTATATATATAGATTATTCATCAGATGCATTTAGAATTTTACTATAACATCAGTCATCCTATAGGAGCACTTGGTTGAGGATGGATTTATCTTGGAGGCCATCCAAGAGGTTGTTATTAAAGACCAAGAGGACCTCATTATAAAGTGATTTTACTATAAAATGGTCCTTTTGAATGATCCCTAAAGACGGCAGGTTATTTGTATAGTTAAAAAAAGTTCAGAGTGTCAAACAATGTCACGAAGGGGTTCTTACCTCACACCGTTAGTTTAAATAAATTCCAGATGAATTAAAGAGCTAAGTTTAATGGTTTAATTCCATAAAAAGACTTGGAAAAAAATATAAGTAAATGTTAATGCGACCTTGAGTAAGACCTTTGTGATTTCTGCTTTTGTAGATATGCCTTTATGTGAAACAGTCATTTCAAAAACCCTGTAGACAAATGAAGCTGCGAGGGGTATAATGTTACCTTCATGTGGCATGTTGCGTGGTGAACAAGAGTCATTACACTCAGCGTCACAGTGTTCTCAAAGCACCTGAAATTAGAGGAAGAAAATTTTTACAAAGAGACGACCGAGACCCTCAGTTAAAAAAATACATATTAAATTTTAAAGAAAAGATCTTGACTGACTTGAGTTAAACTCACCTTTTTCTTTAAATTTCCAAAAACTCACTTTGCTCTTTAAATTTGCAGAAAGTTTCAAAGTAATACATTTTAATTTTTAAAACAAAAGCTGTTTTACTATACTTTGTTTTGTATCTTTTTTTTTTTTGAGACAGGTTCTCACTCTGTTACCCAGGCTGGAGTGCAGTGGCGCGATCTCGGCTCACTGTGACCTCTACCTCCCACGCTCAAGTGATCCATCCTTTTCTGAGTAGCGGGGACTATAGGCACGCGTCACCACACCCAGATAATTTTTGTATTTTCAGTAGAGATAGACATTGTTGCCCAGTCTGGTCTCAAACTCCTGGGCTCAAGTGATTTGCCCGCTTCAGCCCCCTAAAGTGCTGGGATTGCAGGCGTGAGCCATTGCGCCCAGCTTCCTGCTTTTCTACTTAAGAACATATGAACTTCTTTCAACATCAAAATATATATAAATGATGTGATTTTCAATGGCTGTATAGTGTTTTACTATATGGATATACTATAAAATTTTAAACAAATCTCTGTTGGGCATTTAGATACTTTCTAATTTTTCACTGTTATAAACATATCACTCTGGGGCTGATCGGGAGAGAGAAACTTGACAGGGAAAGTTGAATGTAAATTGTTAACTATAACAGAGATTAGAGTAATGAGGTATTAGCTAACAAGAGGTCAGAATAACTCTGAAGAATACAGAACTAGCAGGGATAAGCTGCAGTCACCAAGTCTCAGCCTGAGACAGAGTGTCCAGGGAGGAGCCCCAGGCCCCCAGGGCTGAGAGAGGGCTCAGCTGAGGGTCCCTGAATTTCACGGAAGCCCCAGTGGTGCCCTGCTATCAGAACCTCCCGGAGATCTGCCCTCTGGGATGCTGGGGGCAACTCTTCATGGGGAAGAACCGCCATGGAGGCGCCTCTGTTATAAACCTGCCCCAGGAGGGTGTGTGCTGGGAGAAGTTGCTGGTTCTGGGTGTTGCTGTCCACTGTGCACTGAAAGGGCCAGGCACTGAAGGAGCTGCAGTTGCTAAAGGAGCCTGCCAAGAGAGCAGGCTGGAGCCAGGAAGCAAAAACTCTGACAAAGGAAGAAATCTTCAAGGGGCCTTGGTTCATTGTCTTTTTAAAAATTTTTTTTTAATTACTTTTATTTTTTATGTAGAGACAGAGCCTCCCTCTATCACCCAGGCTGGGGTGCAGTGGCGTGATCATGGCTCACTGCAGCCTCAAACTCCTGGATGATCAACCAGTCCTCTCACCTCAGCCTCCCAAGTAGCTGACACTACAAGTACATGCCGTCGTGCCTGTCTTATTTATTTATTTATTTATTTATTTATGAGATGGAGCCTCACTCTCTCACCCAGGCTAGAGTGCAGTGGTGCAATCTCAGCTCACCGCAAGCTCCGCCTCCCGGGTTCACGCCATTCTTCTGCCTCAGCCTCCCCAGTATCTGGGACTACAGGCGCCCGCCACCAGGCCCGGCTAATTTTTTTTTGTAGTTTTAGTAGAGACGGGGTTTCACTGTGTTAGCCAGGATGGTCTCCATCTCCTGAGCTCGTGATCTGCCCACCTCAGCCTCCCAAAGTGCTGGGATTAAAGGCATGAGCCACCACGCCCAGCTGCCTGGCTAATTATTTTAAGAAAATTTTCTAGAGGTGAGGTCTTACTTTTGACCCAGGATGGTTTTGAACTCCTGGCTTCAAGTGAACCTCCTGCCTTGGCTTCCCAAAGTGTCTGGGATTACATGAGCCACTGTGCCCAGCTTGTTCCTTTTCATAGAACAGCCAAAGAGAGTGAATTTGGAGCTGAGAGGCACTAAGTTGATACCTGGCACAGGAAACAAATGTTTCAGGGAATATCCTTGTATATCTATCATTGCATGCTATCTGAATGTTTTCTTACATACATTCCTAGACTTAGAATTGGCAGGTAAAAAGGTGGTCACAGTCTACACTTGAGAAATATGGCCATCAGTAAAACTTATTCACCTATTATGTAGTACTTGGGAGCTTCTAGATAGTCACAATTTAATTAAGCTTAGGTATTGTCATTCTTTCTAATCCTTATAAATCTGATAAGCCAAAGAAAGTTGTTTTTTATTTGTTTTTTTAAAAAATTAGTAGCAATTTCAAAACTTTTATTTATTCATTTTCTTTTTTATTGTGATGTTCTTGCCTGTATCCTCTGCTGATTAAAAAAATTGGGATATGCTGGGCGCTGTGGCTCACGCCTGTAATCCCAGCACTTTGGGAGGCCGAGGCAGGTGGATCATGAGGTCAGGAGATTGAGACCACGGTGAAACCCCGTCTCTACTAAAAATACAAAAAATTAGCCGGGCGTGGTGGCGGGTGCCTGTAGTCCCAGCTACTTGGGGAGCTGAGGCAGGAGAATGGTGTGAACCTGGGAGGCGGAGCTTGCAGTGAGCCAAGATCACGCCACTGCACTCCAGCCTGGGTGACAGAGACTCTGTCTCAAAAAAAAAAAATAATAATAATAAATAAATAAATAAATTGGGATATTTAGTCTTTTTCTTATTGATTTGTACATGCTCGTTATATATTAAGTGTCAGAAAGTTTAAATGTTCATGTTTCCAAATCTTTGTTTTTCATATTTAAAAATCTTAATTCTTTTGGAAAGCAGTTTAGTTTAAGGTGTCAGGTAGATGTTTAATTTTTAAATTTTGTTCAAATAATGTTAACTCTTTTATCTCTTTTCTCCTGACTGATTTATGTATTAAGTTGTGTTACATGCCTGGGTATACTTATGGATTTTAAGTTGTTTTCTTCTAGTTTCTAGTTGTTTTTCTTTTTTCTTTCAGAACAGGACGCAGGCCTTGATGCCCTTTCTTCCATCATAAATCGCCAAAAACAAATGGGGCAGGAAATTGGGAATGAATTGGATGAACAAAATGGTAAGAATAAGTCTGAGATTGACCAGATTTTCCATTGACATAAATGCTAAAGGCTTGAGCATTCGTTGAATGAGTTTAATATTATACTCATTCATGTACATATTATACTCACATGTATGATATGTGAGTACATATACTCACATGTATGATATGTGAGTACAGTCACATGTATTATATGTGAGTACATATACTCACATGTATGATATGGGAGTGCATATTATACTCACATGTATGATATGGGAGTGCATATTATACTCATGTATGATATGGGAGTACATATACTCACATGTATGATATGGGAGTACATATTGTACTCACATGTATGATATGGGAGTACATATACTCACATGTATGATATGGGAGTACATATACTCACATGTATGATATGGGAGTGCATATTATACTCACATGTATGATATGGGAGTGCATATTATGCTCACATGTATGATATGGGAGTGCATATTATGCTCACATGTATGATATGGGAGTGCATATTATCTCACATGTATGATATGGGAGTGCATATTATACTCACATGTATGATATGGGAGTGCATATTATGCTCACATGTATGATATGGGAGTGCATATTATGCTCACATGTATGATATGGGAGTGCATATTATGCTCACATGTAAAGTGGTTTAATGTCAATGATTGTTACAGTTTAATGCATTGGAGTGGGGGTTGTGGCAGATTTAGATTATAGTTGTTAAATACTATGCAAAGAAATTTGGTTAAAAAGTTTTCCGTTCTCAGTAGCTACTTTTAACAATACTGTGTTTTATGATCCATTCATCCCAAGAGCTTTTCTTTTATGTGGCAGTGATATGCAATTGCTCAGCACTTTGTACACTGAGGCTACATGGGCCTCATGTCATCCCCACACCCGGTGGGGTTTGCTCTTCTTCGATCCTGTGTACCAGGCTTCAGGGCAGAAAAGGGTTTGAATATCTTTGTTCAGTGTTTGATGTGACAAGTCTGGTTGGAAAAATCGGAATTTGCAAACTGCAAGCAGGATGGATTGGAGAGAGTTTAAGATGTGGAGGCATCTGCAAGGCTCTTGTGCTTGAGGAGGGCCTGAATAGGTTGTAGGAGTGGAAATGGGGAAGAAATATGGGTGCACGGGATTGCCAGTGATTTTACTGTTAGGGACGAAGTCAGGGAACTTGAGAGGAGACACTGGTTTGGGGGTGAGATGGTAAGTCCGATTTGCATGTGTCTAATTAGAGATGCTGGCGAGAGATCCGAGTGGAGGTGTCCGGTTGGCAGTGGGAGACGTACCAGAGCTCAGGGGGAGGGCGGAGCCAAAGAGAAGAGATGGGAGCAGCTTCAGGGTAGAGGTGACGTGTGACAGTGTGGAGTCGTTGAGTGGCAGTGAAGCTGGCATTTACGGAAAGCCTCCACTATGTGCTAAGCCCTTTCATCTGTGTCATTTCATTTAATCTCCATACAACATCACGAAGGCGGTACCCTCCTCATGTGTGAGAGGCAAAACTCAGAGTGGCTTTGGGCGCCCTGAGACCACATCATTTGTGAGTGACAGAGCTAAACTCCAGCTCACGTCTTCTGATTCTAACGTGACTGCTTTTGCTACTAAACCAGCTTCCTCTCTAAAGAAGACAAAGTAAGAAGAGAAAAAGAAAAGGTAAAAGATTCCATCTAAGGTTTTAGCTTTTAGGAATACTACCATGATGGAATGGCTTTCAAGAAAGGTTATCAGGTGGGCGCAGTGGCTCATGCTTGTAATTCCAACACTTTGGGAGACCAAGGCAGGTGGATCACAAGATCAGGAATTCGAGACCAGCCTGGCCAACACGGTAAAACCCTATTTCTATTAAAAATACGAAAAATTAGCTGGGTGTGGTGGTGTGCGCCTGGAATCCCAGCTACTCGGGAGGCTGAGGCAGGAGAATTGCTAGAACCCAGGACGTGGAGGTTGTGGTGAGCCGAGATTGCACCATTGCACTCCAGCCTGGGTGACAGAGCAAGACTCCATCTCAAAAAGAAAGAGAAGTTATCATCATGTATGAGCAAGCATCGAAGCCCTGGGGCTAGATGAACACCCGCTCTGAGGAGAGGGCTGCACTTCTCAGCATCCTACAGCAGGCACTTCTGTTCTCCATCCTTGGGAAGAATAAGTTAGTTTATTCCCACAGTGCTGTTCCATTTATCGGTCATAAATCAATTCCATCTGTTTATCATGTCATAAATAAATAGGTTACTAAACCCAATGGAGAAGCCTTCTCTCTTTACAATTCTAATAGTTTCAGCACAGAGAGGACAGCTTAGTTCTTGTCCTGATGGTACCAACATGAACAGGCCAATTTATGTATTTGCATATAATTCAGTTATTGGTCAGTTCCTTAAGTGATAGTATTGATAAGAAAGTAAGCTAGGCCGGGCGCGGTGGCTCAAGCCTGTAATCCCAGCACTTTGGGAGGCCGAGACGGGCGGATCACGAGGTTAAACCCCCATCTGGAAGCGATGGGTGAACGCCCCCTGAAAAACGACAAAAAACTACAGGTCAAGGTGCGTGGGCGCTGTAGTCCCAGCTACCGAGGCTGAGCAAGGAGAATGCGAGCGTGAATCCCCGGAGAGGCGGAGCTTGGCAGTTGAGCTGAAGATCCGGCCATGCACTCCAGCCTGGGCGACAGAGCGAGACCTCTCGTTTCAAAAAAAAAAAAAAAAAAAAAATAAAAAAAAAAAAAAAAAAAACGAAGAAGTAAGCTTTATAGCGGCTCACGGTGGCTCATTCCTGTAATCCCAGCACTTCAGGAGGCCGAGGCGGGTGGATCACGAGGTCAGGAGTTTGAGAGCAGCCTGGCCAACATGTGAAACCCCGTCTCTACTAAAGATACCAAAAAATTAGCCGGGCATGGTGGCATGTGCTTGTAATCCCCGTTACTCGGGAGGCTGAGGCAGGAGAATTGCTTGAACCCGAAAGGCAGAGGTTGCAGTGAGCCGAGATCATGCTACTGTGCTCCAGTCTGGGCAAAAGACTCCATTTCAAAAAAAAAAATAAAGGAAAGTAAGCTTTATAGAAAATCTGCCTATCTGATATGCAATTGTTCCTCATCCCAAGGAAATTTAGTCTATTCAGTGGGTGAGACTAGAAAGGTCTCTGGCCACCAAATTGATGATCATGTATTGTGATATACGTGCAGGTAAGCTGCAGTGCCTGTGGATGGCTAACAAGTGATGGTGCATAATTTGATGGGATGATTTACTAAGTTCCCAGATGAAAGCACTGTTTCTTTGTCCAGCACAAGGCAATCACGCCACATGTCTTTATCTTGTCTTTCCTCTGGTTTAGTCATTATCATACTTTGCTGCATATTAGAATCATCTGGGGTGCTTTTAAAACTCTGAGAGACCAGGCCATACCTGTGTTAGTTTTTTATTGTTGTTGTTGTTTTCATTTTTTAAATTTGATTTGTAAAATTAGCTTCCTCAGGTTGAAGTATGTTAGTTTCCTATTGCTGTTGTAACAAATTACCACCAGTTTTGTGGCTTAAAACAACGCAAGGCTGGGTGCAGTGGCTCGCGCCTGTAATCCCAGCACTTTGGGAGGCCGAGGTGGGTGGATCATTTGAGGTCAGGAGTTTGAGACCAGCCTAGCCAACGTGATGAAACCCCACCTCTACTAAACATACAAAAATTAGCCGGGTGTGGTGGCGGGTGCCTGTAGTCCCAGCTACTCGGGTGGCTGAGGCAGGAGAATCGCTTGAACCCAGGAGGCAGAGGTTGCAGTGAACTGAGATCAGACCACTGCACTCCACCTTGGGTGACTGAGCGAGACTCTGTCTCACCACACACACACACACACACACACACACACACACACACACACACACACACACACACTCTCACGCTGTTAATGTCTTACAGTTCTGTGGGCCAGAAGTTTGATGTGAGTCACACTGGGCTAAAACTAAGGGATGGGCAGGGTGGCTGTTCCTTCTGGACGATGTAGGGGAGAATTCGTGTCTTTGATTTTCCATCTTTGAGAAGTCCAGCCGCATGCCTTGGCCCATGACCTCTTCCTCCGTCTTCAAAGACAACAATAGGTTGAGTCCTTCTCATATGGCATCACTTCTACCTCTGACTGCTGCCTCCCTCTTTTACTTTTAAGGACCCATGTGATGGCATTGGGCCCACCGAGATAATCCAGGATCACTTCCCCATTTTGAGGTCAGCTGATGAGCACCCCATATTCCATCTAGAAGCTTAATGGCTCCTTTGCCATTTAACCTAACATATTCACAGACACCAGGGACTACGATCTGGACATCTTTAGGGAGCCATTGTTCTGTCTACCACAGTAATTTTTTTTTTTTTTTTTTAAGACGGAGTTTCGCCCTTGTTGCCCAGGCTGGAGTGCAGTGGTGTGATCTCAGCTCATTGCAACCTCCACCTCCCGGGTTCAAGTGATTCTTCTGACTCAGCCTCCTAAGTAGCTGGGATTAGAAGCGCCCGCCACCACGCCCGGCTAATTTTGTATTTTTAGTAGTGACAAGGTTTCATCCTGTTGGCCAGGCTGTTTTCAAACTCCTGACCTCAGGTGATCCACCCGCCTCAGCCTCCCAAAATGCTGGGATTACAGGCATGAACCACTGCGCCCGGCCTACCACAGTAATTTATACCAAGTGAATCACAACCTCCAGGGTGGGGCCCAAGCATCAGTAGTTTTTGAAGCTTCCCAGATGATTTCAAGGTGCTGCCAAATTTGAGAACCAGTGCCCTTGTTGAATATACGGAGAATGTATTTAGTGCTGTACTTTGTATTGGTTCTCATACGCTTACATTACAGATCGAAACCCCCCACATGCACAGAAGCACATCCACATGGTGACATGTATATACACAGCATCACAGTCACCGTCAGAGGTCCTTCGCCTCACACATTTTGCCCCCATCCCTTTTGCTGCTTCCTCCACGCCTCCCCTATCCTCATCTCCATTTCATACCCGGATGGCTACATGTGTACATATACACATA